ATGAGGGCTTTATTTAGAATATTAATTTGATATAAATGTTAAAAAATTTATTGTACTTATTTCGAATGAATGTAAAGAAATGGTATTTTCCTTAAATGTTTCGATGTCCCCAATAATGTATCTCTTAATTAAAATAAAAAGTCAGGTAACTTAGTTGTTAAAATAAAACAATTGAAAAAATTTTGAAGCCCTTTACACAGTAGCAATAAATTGTATTGTCAGTCTTGCAAAGTTGCTAAATTAACATACAAAGAGTTTGTGTTTGACGCAGCATACTTTTTTTTGATGACTGTAATATCTCGTTGTCTAGTACTTTTACATAAATAAAATCAAACTAATTAATTCTTACTTTTGTCTAGTACTACAATCAAACCTCAAAAACAACACATTTTGTCATGTTAAATTCCATAAATATATCAAAATGTTAGGGCACTATCATAATCTATCGATTTGAGGCCTATATGTTAGTACCAGTCAAAGGTGAAAATTACACTTAGTTTCAATGTGATTTTTTTTAATGTAAGCGTACTAGACGGTATAATACTACGAGTGTTATACGAAAATTATGATGCACAAAAAAAATTTCCTTTTTCAACCTTCAACTTTGCAACATTGATGGTAAAATGTAATGCCACTATATAGATGATTAAGACATTTTTGAAAATATATTCATTCAATATATGAAACTCACTTGACTTTTCATTTTTGTTAAAAGGTAAAATTTATTGGATTTTTGTACAATAAATTTTATGATTCAAGTACAAAATAGATGGAATGAAAGGTAAATAACATTTGATCACTATTTTATAATGCACAAAGGTCTGAACAATCTTAAATGTAGTAAGGATGTAGCTAAAAACTTTGTATGGTAGAAGTTTTAATTAATTTGAGAACTTATTTCGCTGATTATTATAAAAAAAAAATTTACATGATGATGTTGTTTATTTAACTTTATAACCAGTTAATTACATGGTAAATATGGATAGTTATTTATTATTTATACACATTTTAAGGCATAATGTGCCAAAGGATGAAAATATAGTTTCTAGAAATACCAAATTTATTAAATGTTCTTTTCTTATTTGCTGACAGTATTTAACTTGAGAGTATAGTTCAATTGTTCCTTAATTTATTAGAGTTGCATTTGTGCACGATAATGGCGCTTGTGATTTTTTATTAAATTTTAAATAAAATTAAATAGAAACAGGCGTATACCGAAACAAGGGAGCGAAATTGACGCATCTTTTAGCGTCTCTCCTGGAGGTCCGCGCCGACAGGATAAAAGGGAAAATGGACCCTTACGGCGTCAATCCCTATTTGTACCCAGTACCGTCAGTTAACAACCCCTAACCCCTCCAATACTCACCATGAGTGACGCCGTCGAAACTACGTCTGCCGCAGCTGCGCCAGCGGCTGCTTCGCCGAAGAAGGTCGCGAAAAAACCAGTCGGAGCCAAGAAACCAGCGGCCAAGCCAACCCACCCTCCTGCCTCTGAGATGGTCAACAAGGCCATTGCGGCTTTGAAGGACAAGAAGGGCTCTTCGCTCCCAGCCATCAAGAAATACATAGCTGCCAACTACAAGATCGATGTGGCAAAGCAGTCCATCTTCATTAGGAAGTACCTGAAATCTGCTGTTGAGAAGAAAACCCTCGTTCAGACCAAGGGAACTGGGGCAGCAGGACGTTTCAAGCTCGCAGCGAAGGGCGAAAGCGAGAAAAAAGTAGTAGTGAAGAAACCTGCAGCCAAGAAACCGGCAACAAAGAAGCCCGCGGGTGAAAAGAAAGTGGTGAAAAAACCAGCAGGGGAGAAGCCAAAGGCAGCCAAAAAACCAGCAACTGCCAAAAAACCCGCAGCCAAGAAACCTAAGGTGGAGAAAGTCACCAAGCCAAAGTCTCCATCCAAGGCTAAGAAGAGCGGAAAAGCTACAGCTGCCAAACCCAAGTCTCCCAAGCCTAAGAAAGCCGCGGCACCCAAAGCCAAAGCAGCAGCAAAGAAGTAAACCACCCCCACTCGGCTTATAAACAAACGGTCCTTCTCAGGACCAACAAACAACAAAAACGTAATAATTATGTTCCATATTGAATACAAATAATTAATTATTAAGAAAATTTAACTACTACCTTTTGGTTGTCACCGGGGGTTTCGTTTATAGATGTTTGCAGATTTCCCCTTTTTGCACAATGATAAATAATATTGTTTAGATATCTTATGAGTCATCCTAAAATATTTGTCTGTTATTTTCTGCTTAAAGTCAACAAACAGGTCAAAACGTTATTTACCGTGTACACAGTTATTATTCACGAGTACTAGGAATTTTTTTTTTTTTTGACAGCTAGAAGAGAAAATTGTTGCGAAACAACTAAGGTTACATAACCAAAGGTAGTTTTGGATTCTTGCAAACAATTTTCTCTCTAAATTTTTTTGATCTCTAAGAATTGGTAACATAGAAAAAAATTTATCATTTCTAAAACTGATCAAACCAAAATAAATAAAGTAAATGTCATTTTATTCTTAAACAGTAAAATCTATTTAGGGAAAAAAATGTCTTCATCTGTGAATTCATGAAACTAATCAATAGAAAATTGAATTATCATATTTTCTAAAAAAGAGATTTTCTGAAATCGATAAAATCTAAATAAAAAAAGTAATTATCAAAGGAATTGAAATTTTTTTCTTTTATTTGGGTACTTAAATATTCAGATATACAAAACTAACTAAAATAAATAAGCCCATATTTATGAAAATCAGTTGATGGAATCCTGAAATATGATGATTAGCATGGGTACTCACATACGCATTTGCATAAATTTTTTTAAACTATAATTGTAACAATATTTTTTATATTAAGTACATTGATTCAAACATTTTTCGGATTCTTTAGCATAAAATATTTTAAAATAAGAAAAGGCAAGAAATTGAATTTTTCAAAAAACAATCGATAATGTATGCTTAGAAAATTTTAGATGTGTGACCTTGAGATTTTTTAATGGTCATGGCAAATGCTTAGGGTATGGAAATTTCTCCCTTCGTCAAATAAAACGTGACAAAGATTTATTTTTCTAATTTTTAAACTAATTTTTTCTATGAAAATTTTATGATCCATTTTTCCTCCAGTTATAATTTGTTTTAATGTTTCGACTGTAAAATTACATAACTACACAAATCAAATAAATACAATAAAATAAATTGCAAAAGGTTGTAAAAATTATATGTTGATTTAATAATTGTTATTTGAAATATTCTACTTTGTAAATTCGTAAAACTACATAATTATGCAAATAAGTCTAACAAATGGCACTAGGGTTTTAAAATGTGTCACATCGTTTACTAGATAAAAAAGGTTTGGTGATAAATCATTTTATCTCAAAATTATGGTAAAGTACTAATTTACAAAAGGAAGCTCTAAAAATATTTCAAGGAAACAATTATTTTTTAATGAACTTGTTAACAAACCTGGCAGACTGCATCCAATATACACAAGAATTGTGCAATTTTTTGTACCCAAAAACAAAATATCTTGCAAAAGCTTATATAAATAAAGAGATACCACGAAATATTTTACAATTGTTTTTATGTGCATATAGTATAATTTTATTCAGCATTTAGTAAAATTTTAGTAGGACTAATAATATACATCAGCTAGCTCGTGTAAACTAATAGGCTATGAGGGCTTTATTTAGAATATTAATTTGATATAAATGTTAAAAAATTTATTGTACTTATTTCGAATGAATGTAAAGAAATGGTATTTTCCTTAAATGTTTCGATGTCCCCAATAATGTATCTCTTAATTAAAATAAAAAGTCAGGTAACTTAGTTGTTAAAATAAAACAATTGAAAAAATTTTGAAGCCCTTTACACAGTAGCAATAAATTGTATTGTCAGTCTTGCAAAGTTGCTAAATTAACATACAAAGAGTTTGTGTTTGACGCAGCATACTTTTTTTTGATGACTGTAATATCTCGTTGTCTAGTACTTTTACATAAATAAAATCAAACTAATTAATTCTTACTTTTGTCTAGTACTACAATCAAACCTCAAAAACAACACATTTTGTCATGTTAAATTCCATAAATATATCAAAATGTTAGGGCACTATCATAATCTATCGATTTGAGGCCTATATGTTAGTACCAGTCAAAGGTGAAAATTACACTTAGTTTCAATGTGATTTTTTTTAATGTAAGCGTACTAGACGGTATAATACTACGAGTGTTATACGAAAATTATGATGCACAAAAAAAATTTCCTTTTTCAACCTTCAACTTTGCAACATTGATGGTAAAATGTAATGCCACTATATAGATGATTAAGACATTTTTGAAAATATATTCATTCAATATATGAAACTCACTTGACTTTTCATTTTTGTTAAAAGGTAAAATTTATTGGATTTTTGTACAATAAATTTTATGATTCAAGTACAAAATAGATGGAATGAAAGGTAAATAACATTTGATCACTATTTTATAATGCACAAAGGTCTGAACAATCTTAAATGTAGTAAGGATGTAGCTAAAAACTTTGTATGGTCGAAGTTTTAATTAATTTGAGAACTTATTTCGCTGATTATTATAAAAAAAAAATTTACATGATGATGTTGTTTATTTAACTTTATAACCAGTTAATTACATGGTAAATATGGATAGTTATTTATTATTTATACACATTTTAAGGCATAATGTGCCAAAGGATGAAAATATAGTTTCTAGAAATACCAAATTTATTAAATGTTCTTTTCTTATTTGCTGACAGTATTTAACTTGAGAGTATAGTTCAATTGTTCCTTAATTTATTAGAGTTGCATTTGTGCACGATAATGGCGCTTGTGATTTTTTATTAAATTTTAAATAAAATTAAATAGAAACAGGCGTATACCGAAACAAGGGAGCGAAATTGACGCATCTTTTAGCGTCTCTCCTGGAGGTCCGCGCCGACAGGATAAAAGGGAAAATGGACCCTTACGGCGTCAATCCCTATTTGTACCCAGTACCGTCAGTTAACAACCCCTAACCCCTCCAATACTCACCATGAGTGACGCCGTCGAAACTACGTCTGCCGCAGCTGCGCCAGCGGCTGCTTCGCCGAAGAAGGTCGCGAAAAAACCAGTCGGAGCCAAGAAACCAGCGGCCAAGCCAACCCACCCTCCTGCCTCTGAGATGGTCAACAAGGCCATTGCGGCTTTGAAGGACAAGAAGGGCTCTTCGCTCCCAGCCATCAAGAAATACATAGCTGCCAACTACAAGATCGATGTGGCAAAGCAGTCCATCTTCATTAGGAAGTACCTGAAATCTGCTGTTGAGAAGAAAACCCTCGTTCAGACCAAGGGAACTGGGGCAGCAGGACGTTTCAAGCTCGCAGCGAAGGGCGAAAGCGAGAAAAAAGTAGTAGTGAAGAAACCTGCAGCCAAGAAACCGGCAACAAAGAAGCCCGCGGGTGAAAAGAAAATGGTGAAAAAACCAGCAGGGGAGAAGCCAAAGGCAGCCAAAAAACCAGCAACTGCCAAAAAACCCGCAGCCAAGAAACCTAAGGTGGAGAAAGTCACCAAGCCAAAGTCTCCATCCAAGGCTAAGAAGAGCGGAAAAGCTACAGCTGCCAAACCCAAGTCTCCCAAGCCTAAGAAAGCCGCGGCACCCAAAGCCAAAGCAGCAGCAAAGAAGTAAACCACCCCCACTCGGCTTATAAACAAACGGTCCTTCTCAGGACCAACAAACAACAAAAACGTAATAATTATGTTCCATATTGAATACAAATAATTAATTATTAAGAAAATTTAACTACTACCTTTTGGTTGTCACCGGGGGTTTCGTTTATAGATGTTTGCAGATTTCCCCTTTTTGCACAATGATAAATAATATTGTTTAGATATCTTATGAGTCATCCTAAAATATTTGTCTGTTATTTTCTGCTTAAAGTCAACAAACAGGTCAAAACGTTATTTACCGTGTACACAGTTATTATTCACGAGTACTAGGAATTTTTTTTTTTTTTGACAGCTAGAAGAGAAAATTGTTGCGAAACAACTAAGGTTACAT